GTACTTTATTTTAAATATATAATACAGTAAAAAGATATAATTTATATTAATTATCAATAATTTTTTTTAAGTAGTATTATTCATATTTTTTTTTTTTTTTAAACCATCCATTTTTTTTTAGTATTATTATTAATCATTTTTCTTTTTAATTTATTTTGTACTTTAAAACATTAGTTTTAAATAAATAAAAAAAAGTATTATTTCAGATACATGTAACAGTTTGATTGTAATAAGTTAAAAAAAAAAATTTTAAAAATGAAGAAATTTATTGTTTATTTTTATTTTTTTTTTTATCCTTTTTCTTTTTTTTATTTATTATTATTATTATTAAAAACTAAATTAAAAAATAAATTTTAAAGTATAATTTTTTAAGACAATTTTTTAAATATATGTATATCAAGGCTTTAAAGAAAACAATGACACTCAAATATTACATTAAAACCTCATCTTAAATTTCCTAAAAATAATTTATGACAAATTGAAATATTAAAAAAAAAAAAATTGTTTTTAAATAAAAATAATAGTAATAATAATTAATAATAATAATAATAATAATAATAAACTGAAATAAAATATTATTTTAAAAAAAAAATCATTATGGAATTATTTTCTTAATGCCAAGAAAATTTACAATTACAACCCCATATATATATATCTAGAGCACAAGAAAATTTAAATTTTATTTAAATTAATTAATTAATTAAAAAAAAAAAAAAATTCATCATCAAAAATCATTTAACTAAAATATGAATTCATTTCAAAAAAAAAAAAAAAGAAAAGTTGTTACATTTTTTTTTTTTTTTTTTTCCCAAGTAAATACTATTCTTGTCATACAAGTTAAAATAATAATAATAATAATAAAAAAACATCTTAAATCTATTATTATCAATTTTACAACTTTTCATCAATCGAAACACAAGAAAAAATTTTTTTTTTTTTTTAATCATTATACTTCTTACAAATATAATTCATAATATTGTTGCATTTGATAAAATATTTTTTATATATATTTGATTTATTAAATGCAACAAATTTTATTCTAACTATTCCCCATATATATATTTATATATATAGCTGAACTTTTATTGTTCATTTTATTGCAATTAAAAAAAAAAAAAACATTTAAAA